GCTTGGGGACCGCATGTGCGGTGTCGCACGTGTGGAAGTGAAGGCTTAGATGCGATTTTAGGAGTTGGGGTCAGGAACTGCAGATGTGGTACGGGAACCGCACATGCGGAGTCGCAGATGCGACAAATGGACCGCAGATGCAGTTTGGGCTGGTTTAATGAATTTCCGCAGAAGCGGATGGATCGACCGCATATGCGGTACCGCAGAAGCGGACTTTGGACCGCAGATGCAGAGAGGCCTGGGCAGAAGGTACATATTTCATAGTTCACGATTTTTGAAGGGTTTAACCATTTTTGAACTCGGAATTGGGAGCTTTGGGCGATTTTGACGAGAGAAATCAAAGAGACTTCGTTGAGGTAAGGATTTTGGACTTAAAACACATTTCTATGGTAGAATTTCATGAACTAAGGCTGTAATTAGGAGGATTAAAGGGCTAAAAATGGAGGTTTAGGGCTTGAGTTTAGGAGGCCTTTAATGGGGGATTTGAGGGGTCATTTGGACTCCGATTTTCGTGTTCTTGGTATGTATGAACTCGTGAGAAGATGAAGAATCTAGTAATGTGAAATTTTTTGTGTTTCGAGAAGTGGGCCTGGGGCTCGAGTTTCGCTAATTTTAAAATTTTTGGTATTTTTCGATTGTTTTCGCTTGGGTCTTGTTCCCTTAGCATATTGTGACGTATTCGTTATGATTTTGGATAGACTCGACGCACGTGGAGGCCAATTCGAAGGGCAAAGGCGTCGCGAGCTAGGGATTTAGCCGGTTCGAGGTGAGTAATGCTTGTAAATGATGTTCAGAGGGTTTGAAACCTCGGATTGTGCATCGTAGTACTATATTGAGGTGAGGCACACACTCAATGGTGAGCGTGGGGTCGTGTACTATTAGGGATTTGGACTTGGTCTGTCCCGATTGATGATTTTACCGCGTATTTGATTTAAAACTATTTGTTATCATTGTTTATTGGGCCGATTGCCATATTTGGCTTCATGCCAACTATTTGAACCCTTTCGGGGTTTTTATTTGATATTTCCTCACTGTTTTGACTTATTATTTGAACTCAGTCATATTAAATTCCACTGTTTTACTACTCAGCCATTTTTTACTCAAATTTTGAGATTTAAATGATGTTTGGGCTGAGAAACACTGGTTTACTATTGCCCGGGGGCTTGTGATGATTTTTGACTGAGTAAGGTCGAGGGCCTATATTGTGAGGAGATACTGATACTGATTGGAGGCCGAGAGCCTGAGATATGTACACCACGAGGTGGCTTGATTGATATGAGGGCGAGGGCCTAGATTTGATGCCACGAGATGGCTTGTTATTGCGCTTGGGCCGTAAGGGGCCCCTCCAGGAATCCGCACACCCCAGTGAGCGCAGGTACCCATTGTGATGTGAGAGTGAGCCCGAGCGGCTGTTACTGTTGTGAGATGTTGCCCGAGGGGCGGTTGTGGTGTTACTGTGCCCGAGGGGCGAACTTTTATTTGTTTACTTTATCATAATTATCTGTCAATTACTTGTTTACTGGTTTAAAGAGTATTTTTCCTGATTCTTACTGGTTTTCCTGATTAAAAATGATTTTACTGCTTCATTATAGACTGCCATATGCTTTACGTGTTTTCTTGCTTTCAGTCATTATTTATATTCATTACTCACTGAGTTGGAGTACTCACTTTACTCCCTGCACCCTGTGTGCAGATTCAGGCGTAGCTGGTTCCGCTCCGGAGTGTTGATTTCCTCCAGTTCCAGGCGGGCTTTTTCGGAGATTACAAGGTAGTTTTTGGCGTCCGCAGCCCCGTGTCTCTACTTTTCTATCATTTCTGTTTCCTACAAACACTTGTAGTAGTTTATTACTTTAGCAGACTGTACTGTGATTCGTAGATGCTCTTGACTTCTGACACCCCAGTTAGGGCTGTGTTAGGTTGGATTTCCGCATTATTCTTGATATTTTCGCTACTTAGAATTATTAAATCATGTTTAGACTATTTTGTGTTGTTTAACTGTCTTAAAAGATGAATTGGATTAAACTGGCTGGCCTTGTCTTCACGAGAGGCGCCATCACGACCGGGTCCGAGGTTAGGGTCGTGACAGTTGTGCATTGGTTGGAGTTTTCGGAAGGGCTTGGGAGCCGGTTATGGAACTTCGGAGCAAAGTAAGTCTCCTTTCTAACCTTGTAAGAGGGAATTAACCCCATAGGTGAAATAAATTAATATGTGATTTTAATTGTGGGGGCTACGTACGCACGAGGTGAAGAGAGTCCGTGCGTAGCTACTAGCTATACCTATGTTCGGGTAGCCTAGGTTACACCATGCCTTGTTGATATCACCGTCGATTTATGTTTATTGTTTTCCTTGAGAAGAAGTAAGATTTAGGTTGAGCAATAATTGTCTTGAAGGAATTGAATTTTGAAGAATCCAAGATTTAAAAGGTTTAATTTGAACTTCGTAATTTCAAAAAGAATTGAGGAATATTATAATAGCTTAAAAAATCTATGGGTAACCGTGTCGCATGTATGTTTCGCGAGCGGGGTAATTTACTCAAAAGGTTTCAAGATGAATTTCCATTATTTTGAAAAGAATCAAGAAAGAGATATGACTTAAATATTAAATTTGTATTTGACCGCGTCACAGGTATGATTCTGGAGGGGGTAATTTTCTAAATTTATATTTGACCGCGTCGAAGGTATGATTCGCGAGCGGGGTAATTTATTAAATTTTTTATGACCGCGTCGCATGTATGATTCGCGAGCGGGGAAATAGATGCATCTATGGTTCGCGTCGTTCGACCCTCGGTAGTGCACAATTTACTTTTATGTTGGATCGGGTTGTACCCCTCGGCATTACCTATATATATATGCTCCGGTTACGGAGGGAACTTGCTAGTTGAGAGCTTGATTAAAACTATAAAGAGGGGAATTGTACCACATATTTTATACATGTTTATTCCATATATTTACTGTACTTCAGATCTATTCACTTCCTTACTGTACCTGATATTATTGGAGCACTAGTATGTGTTGAAGTCGACCTCTCATCACTACTTCTTCGGGGTTAGACTGGATACTTACTGGGTACACGTTGTTCTCGTACTCATACTACACTTGCTGTGCATTTTTGTTGCACAAGCACATGCATGTTTAGTGGCCTAGTGGGTGCAGCGGCATGGTTGATACAGAGACTTAGGTAAGCTGCATCTCTCGAGACGACCCGCAGCCGGCAGAGTCTCCTTCAGAGCTTTGGTATTTCCATTTCTGTCCAAATTGTATTCCGGACAGTTATTATATTTTATTTTATTCCTTAGTAAACGCTCATGGACTTGTAACACCGGGTTTTGGGATGATTATGTGTTATTCAGTATTGAAAATGTTAAAACATTATTTATTCTGTAAAGTCCATCTTTTACTAGTAAATTGACGAAAAATCATGATATCAGAAATACTAAAACGAGAACTAAATTGATTTTTTAGTGTTGGCTTGCCTGACAGTGGTGTCCGGCGCCATCATGACCTTTAATGGAATTTGGATCGTGACAGATGTAGTGCAATATTAATATTATTTAAGTTTTAGCAACAACAACATATGAATATATCATATATTAATATAGCATATGTTAATACAACATTAATATTTATGTTATATATATACATCTTATATATATATATATATATATATATATATATATATATATATATATATATATATATATATATGTGTGTGTGTGTGTGTGTGTGTGTGTGTGTGTGTGTGTGTGTGTGTGTTGATGGAGTTTTGGTTTAAGTACTTTGAGAGACATGTTATTAGTTTATAAGCTTGTTTGGCTAGTTTGATAGCCATGTTGTTGCATTCCAAATTGATATTCCACTAATGGTATTGCTTCTAATTGGTAGTAGTTCATAATGAGGACTGTTTTAGTTGTTTTTGGCTCTAATTGGTAGTATTTTTTTATTGAACATTTATATAGTTGTTGTTGTTATCAGTGTTGTTGTTCTGGTTGTAGTTGTTATTAGCGTTGTTGTTGGTTAATTGTTGTTGTTGATCAATTGTTGTTGTTGGTTAATTGTTGTTGTTGCTGTTGGTTAATTATTGTTGTTGTTCGTTAATTATGGTTGAATAGCAGCAATGCAATGCTGCCATTATAGGATGAATATTGGTTATAATTGGCAGGTGGTGTAGCTTAAAAGCAGGCATATTCTGTCCGATTTTCACCCAAAAAACCGATCGGAAATCTCATTTTCCCCCAGAAATTCACTATTTCCGACCAAATTCGGTTTGAAATTTCAAATGAAATCTCCAGATTCTTGAAATTTCTGACCGAAGTCGGTTGCAAAATTTTGAATTTATATTTGTTTATTTATTTAATTAAATTTTGCAATATATTACAATTCATAAATAATTATATATTTAAAATTTCGACCAATCTTGGTCGCTATTTGAAAAATAAAAAAAATTTAATTAATATCGACCGATTTCGATTGGTATATATAGTTTGGTTGTCAGTCAATGCGTTGAAATAACCGACTGATTTCGATCGCAACACCTTAGCGGCCATCGTTTTTCCGACTAATTAACAGCGGTCGGAAAGTAGTCGCTTTTTCTCAAATTTCAACCGATTTCGATTTTCCTAGACGACAGTTTTTTTAGTAGTGTATACGTACGAGTTGACTTACGGAAAATGTCCTTTTTTTCATTTCATTGTCCAGATTTTGTTCTTATTTTAATAAGTTGCACAAATATAATCCTTGAGAAAATGTCTCTTTCAGACAAAGTTAGTGAACTCGAATCTAATATTTGCTTAAAATTTATTTTTAATTTGCTCACAAAATATTATAAACTGTAGTCTAACGTTCAACGGTTTCTCATAAGATTTTCAGTAAGAAGAAAGGTCCATTAATTACATGAAAAAACAGAAAAATATTTACTAAACAGCTTATACCGAAAGGAACAATGGACGAAAGTTTCTGATACGTCCACGTAACCGCTGCATGCACATCAACACTTAGGCTTAATTATATATTTGCTGATGACGATGTCACCGGAATACCAATGATCGGTACCGGCGAGCAATCACTCACCTCCGGTAAGTACGCCATTAACGGCGACCTTTGAGGTTGCATTCCTAAAAGAAACGAAGCTTCCATTTTCACAGAAACATTTACAACTCCATGACCTCTTGAACCATCTTTATTTCTTAGCCGATAAGTAAATTTTCGGACAAAACCTGTCGGAAGCAATCTGTCGAAAACATCGGCCGCCGGAATCATACACCACCCTAGCTCACTCCGACGGTTAAAGAAAATTTTAGAATATATTTGAAGATATATGCATAAATGTCCATGTAAAAATAGACTAGCATCAAGTGGAAGGTGAAATTTGTCACCCCATTTTGGATTTTCACCTCCATTTTCATCTACATTAGTTGCGTAAACTTCGGTGGTGGCGGCGGAGATGGAGGCGGTAGCAACGGTTGAGACGGTGGCGAAAGGGCGGAGCCGCCACCAGGTGGTGGTGTTTTTGAGACCTTGAGCTGATATGATAGTGATTTCCATGGAACAAAAAAAAAAAAACAAGAAAGTTATATGTCATATGTACATATATTATGCAATTTGAGTGCTCTTTTATGGGACTAATAACGAGGGAGCCATGCAACTTCGCTTGTGGAAAAAGTTGGTGGAATTGAAATGTAAACGTTAATTAAAAGCAGTGGCGAAAGCTAGAGTGTCGGCCAGGTTCAGCCGAACTCAGTAGCTTTGATACGAACTTTGTATTTATCTTAAAAAATCTATTAAATATGTATTATAAATTATTAATTTAGAACCCAATAACTTAGGACGATTAGAATCCCGAACTCTTAAACTTGTAATCCTGATTCCACCTCTGAATTTAAAGTAAAGGGTACTTACTTGTGTGGATTTCATGTGGAAACCGAGGAAAATTCTTCAATAGAAGATATATCTAACTATATATAGTGGCCAACCATTTGAAAATTAATCAGGCTCACAGTAATGAGAATGAGGCCCAAGACATATATTTTTAATTTCTTTATCAATTCTTTCTCGGAAGTAACCTGCAGCGAGCTGATGCATTTGCAAAGGATGAGCATTGAGCTAATAAAATGAAGAAAATAGTGTTAAGAGTCTCACATCCGTATGGGATGGGATATTTGTTTTCTACATATGATCTTGGGCAATTTAAACCCAATGAAATTAATTTTTGGATTGAGTTAGGCCTAATATATATTTTTATATATGATATTAAAGTAATACTCAGCTCAATTCTTGATTTCCCGTAAGGGCTTCCATATTATATTTTACACGTAGATGTCTAGTCCAGTACGTGCGGGAGGGTGTTTGAAGAGTCCCATACTGGTAATTTTTACCCGTAAAACGGTGCAGTTAAATTTGTAACACGATTTATAGACACGTAAATCAATTTGATCCAGGAGTATTATGTGTCTACAATGAGTACAAATTCCTCTATTTATAGCTAAATTCAGGGAGACAAGATCCCCAAATCAAGCTCTTCTTTAATATGACCAAAGACCCCTCTTGATAGCTGCATTGAGTTAAAATACAAAGATTCTTTGTAACGGTCGATCCTTAAATGCTGCCTTCTCCAACAGATATCTTACTTTTAAATTTTCATCTCCGATTCCTATGTGTTTAGAACTTACACAATACCAAACACTGATCACATGCTCGTAACCGGTGCAAGCTGTTTGCTGACACATACATTACATGTCACTACCGCCATATGCCAACTCCACAAACGTCCACGTGGCATTCATCAATTTTACCCAATACAGTAACGAGGGATGATCAGTAGGTTTCTTTACTTTAATATGGTTATTCCCCAGCTCACGAGTTAAGTTCATAATTCATTTCTTATCAAATATTTTTTATTTTATTTTTGATGCCACATTCCCTTATGCAGTAAAATATTATAATATTTATGTACAAGACTTGAAAGGGGCTGGTTTTTCATTAGAAATGTCATATCAGTGACTCAATTCAAACCAGAGTCTTCATACCCAGAAGTCTTCTGCTTAATAAAGTTTGCAATAAATAAATGCAATGCTTAATGCCTTGTTTCAAGATTACCCAATGCATTATTGCATATTAACCATATGTTATTTGATGGTCCATCATATACTGGATAAATTATCCAGGATAATGATAGATCCATTTCTTAATTATCTGGGTCCGAGAGGGGTCATGAGATTGTTTTTGTTTTTTTCTTTTGTAATTTTTCATAATAATTTAAATATTTTAACCTAACAATTGGTAAAGTAAAGAAGTTTTTTCCAGTCCTGCCCTTAATTTGTAATGAAAAGTATTGCTAGCTCAATGTTTTCTGCATGCACATTAGTTGTATATAAGAATTTGTTGGGTTTGTTATTAAAAAATAATAACAAAAGAGGTGTGAATGGAAAATGGTGGGAAAAGAAATGGAGGGAAGTGAAATTTGAATGAGTTCATTTCACTTATGCACTTTGTCCCTTATTGGTAGAAGGAAAGAAAATCTTTGTGTATATGTTGCGGTCAAACGCACACGCAAGTATACGCGGTCGTCAAGTAATAAAGCGACTAAAAGTCGGATGTCGAACCCACGAGGACTTATGATTAACTATTAACTAAATTAGACTATCCTAATTATCTATACAAGAATTAAACCTAGAAATATTTGATTCTAAACTAATTAAATAAAGAAATATAAATAATGAACTTTAAACAGAGAAAGAGCAGATTTTTATGATATCAATGTAATGAAAACGATCTAGGGTTATGGGCTATCTAACATTCCTATTGTATTTTTCAATTGAATTGACTAACTAATTTATCTAGTTTATTGGTTGACAGGGTTAATATTGCTCATAAGAATCTGTCGAGTTCTTACTCGCCTATTCAAGCTAACCTAACACCTATATGTCTATGGAGTTAGAATCAACAAGAACGCATTTTATAATTCCTATAAATCAACCAAGCAAGGCAATTAGGTATATGTCTATCCTAACCGCGAATCCGTTCCCCGATGCCCAGGTTCAAGAACTTGCTCTACTCAATCCTATATGCAATCTAGAATTCCCACTTTCGAGTTCAATTCTAGATTCGTAGATAGTATTCAATTGGTGATCAAGCAATCAAATAATTAAGTGCATGATTGAATAAATGAACCAATATGATAAACTAAGAAATCAAAATCAATATCCGAATAACAATAGTCGAAGAACCACAACCCTAGAACGTGAAGTTTAGCTCCAAATAGACATGGTAGCAAAATAACAAATCATACAAAGAAACATAAAAAGACTAAGTTGGTGGAAGAAAAGATGAAACCCGGCCTCCACGGCGGCTCTGTGCTCTTCCTTCGTCAAAAATTGCTCTCAAAAATGTTCTCCTATGTATATATACCAAGTAAGGTTGAGCCCAAACAATTATACCTTCTCCAATGTGAAAAAGGACACTTTTCCCGGGCTTAACTAGCGTTGCAGCGCATTTGACCGCGCATCTGGCCGCGCTAGTTGGCTGACTTTCTGTTTCTGGGCTCGCTAAAACTAGCGCGGCCGCGCATCTGGGCATTTTTCACCCTGTTCCGTTCCGAATTTGGAAAAACGTAAAACATGAAAGTTATATCCCTTTGAGTTAGCTTTCCAACCATATATTGTGGAGCCAAAATGTAGTTTTGAAAAAAAAGTTATATCTATTTTACTAGATAGTGCGCAATCTGCCTACTGAAGTCTTCGTTTGCTCTAACTATCATCCGTTGACCCCCAAACGCGATTCCGGCTTGTATCCTTGGGCTTTTACTCAGATTTTAAAGCTCCAAATCACTTGAATTCATTCCATAATATCTATATAGCTCGGAATCACTCCTACAAGGCATAAAACATACAATTAGTGCAAAACATTAGCGATTAAAGCTCAAACTTAATTAAAGTGCAGTAAATTAGAGTGTAATAAGCGACTAAAATACGTAATTATAGCCTATCATCAACACCCCACACTTAAACGTTGCTCGTCCTCGAGTCAACCAAAAATTTACTCTATCTATGAGCACTTAACATATTTGAAGCACACTACACCAATGATTATGGTTGATAGCAACAATTAAACTCTAGCATATGCAATCATCATACACTTCCCTTTACTTATGTCATTCTTCAAAAATATTCAAACAAAGACAATATGCTCACAACAATCCTAGCCTCAAAAACTGACTCACTGTCACAATGTACTCATGGCTTGAACACCCAAAATCATAGAGAGAGCTAATAATGTTACCTATCCCTCGTGTAACCATGTGCCCTCACAACAAAAGCAAAGAGAGTAAAATCAATCCACACATTCGAATCTCATGCTCACATATATCAAAGAAAATCACTCACTCTCACAAAAGAAGTCACATGCATGTAATTGGTACCATAGGCTTGCCCTTAATGTAAATCTCTACTAATGTAGGCTCGATCGATCTAAAATCAATTAGGACTTTTTCATGGTTGTAATGTGGGCTAAGGGACGGGTAGGATATATTTAGGAATAGTGACTAACCCTCCTAAGCACTTTAACACACCACATAATCAACTTTAAGCATAAATTCTTCAATCCACTTCACTTTCACAAATAATATCACCCCAAAAATGCTCCCTTCTTCTTTAAGCACTACATTAATTCATACCCACTAGCAAGAACAAGACAACAATGTATTCATCTCAATTTTTTTTTCTTTTCAGATTATTCTTCTTTTTTTTTCAATTTCTGCTAATGGCGTATTATTTTACAAAACAAGTGCACCTTTCATCCTTTTATTGGTTCCACTCAAAAGCCACCCCACACTTAGTTCCTTCTTACTTCTTTTAGCGCTCATCTCACAATTAAAGTGCTTTAAGAGGAAAAGGGATCAAAACAATGTCAATTAAGAACAAAAAGGGTATAGGCTTGTAATGTGGGTGCTAAATAAAAGTCTATAGGCTCAAAAGGGTTAACTAGGGATAGATTTTATTTGTGATAAGCAATAAAGCTCAAAAAAAAATCAAAGAAAGCCTAAAGTCACTTTTCAAACCGAACATCACCTAAAATTTCGCTTCAACTCACATACCGGGCAAGTTCTAGACACAAGTACAATACATAGACTATACAAAAACCTCACCACACATGGCACATGACTCACTAAGAACGGTCTCATTCCGACTCTCAAACAAATGCAAGTATTCACAGAGCCACGAGATATTAAGCATGAAGCACAAAGTGAACATAAGTCAAGAAAACGAGACATGGACATCACAAGACATGCTATCCAACTAAGCAAGGCATCATCAATAATTTCAAATCATAGGGAAAATACTACACATGCCAAAGCCTAAATATGCTACTAAACAAGTCAAGGGCGCCTAGGTTCATCATTCTTCTCCATTTATTCCCTAAATTCTAATCTACTCTAAAAATATAAAAAAATACTACTACCCGGTTCAAACTACATCCCATGGAAAAGAACCGAGGCACAAAGAAAAACCACAGGGGATTATTACTACCTAAAGAAAATAAAGGACATA